CCATATCCCATTGTGAGTTTCTCCAGTAGCAGGTCATGGTCCACTGTGTCGAACGCTTTCCGCAAATCGATGAAAACTGCACCAGTTATTAGACCCTGATCCATACTGCGCCTTATGCTGTCAGTGAATGATAAGACAGCCAAATCAGTAGAGTGGCCCTTGCGGAAGCCACATTGGTAGGGACTCAATAACTTTTCTCTAGCCAGAAAATCATATAACTGCGTGTGAACTACTCTTTCCAGAACCTTGGATATGGTCGGTAGTACAGATATCGGTCGATAATTATCCATGTCATTTGATTTACCATTCTTGAACAAAAGATTTACACGTGCCCATTTCCATTCAGAGGGGACGTAACCATAAATCAAAGAAGCATTAATAAGAGTAGTCAACGGTTTGGCAATTATTTCAGCTGAGTCCTTTAACAGACGTGCAGGTAACTGATTAAGTCCAACAGCTTTTTTGGTTTTGAGCTTCTTTAGTTGATCACGGATGAAATCGACAGATACTTCCTCAAAACGGAAAGTGTACGATGGACCTGACATCAGAAATTTGAACGATCGTGCAGATGGTAGACATCGTCCAAAAACTTGAACGAGTCTGTCCACAGTTTTAGTGAAGAAATTATTAAAGCTGTTTGCAATTACCTTGTCATCGTAAATTTGAGTTCCATTAACATCAATACTGGTAACACGCTTTGTTTTCTGGCCAGGCATGATCTGCTTAACGGTTTTCCAAAACTTTTTAGGATCAAATGATCAAAATCTATACGGGAGGTAATTCAAAAAGCGCATTTAGACAAATAATTCATTGTTTACTAATTTCATGTTTCCTTCTTTCAGGGATGTAAACTCCTGGGAAAAGGGATGAAGCAACGAGACACATCGATCCTTTTCGGACTCCTTATTCTCGTGTCGTTTTGCATGGGACATGCTTGTGTGAATGTTCATGCGTTGTGGACGGAACCTGTGATCCTTTGGGTAGCGTGTGCCATAACAACAGGTATCTAAGAGTTTTTTCACCTTTACCCCGACGTTTCTTCCGATTTTTGTTTCGACTTTACCACAGAATACTCCGCCATTTCCAATCTCTATTCCTGAAAGAGCTGGATACGTAGATACGTAGTTATCCGTTTTATCCGCTTTTATCTTTTAAGTTGTTTTACTTTACTCGTAATATCGAAGACGAAACTGCAGAAAAATGGTCAGCGTGCATTTGTATCTTGGTTATTGATTTGACAATGGAAAACGGTGAAAAGCTATCCGGAGAAATCTTTTAGTCTGAATTACAGGCATCCCTTTGACTCTGTAGAGGATGTCTGAAATTCAGGCTGGGAAATCTTTTATCAAAGGTTGTATTTCTCGTGGTACTTGCTTGCGAGAACTGCGAATGTAATTATTAAACCGAAGTGTTTTTGTATTATGTACAAAAGGGTCACGGTTTTAGGGAGAATCTTGTCTCTAATAGTTTCCGCATTTCTTATTTTCATGTTTGTCGATCAGTTGTTACTCGTGGATGTCTTTTCTGAGCTGTAATTATGCCAAAAAACAACAATGTCAGACGTACCGCTATAAATCGTTAACATCATGAAAATTCAATAATATCGATTTGACACAGCAATTTAGTTTATCGATTTTGACCCACTTCCATTATCAACATAAAAATCACTTGATTGCTATCGATTTTTATCGATACTGATTTTTATCGATTGACTACTTCGGGGTTACATATTATGAATTCAGTAAGAATTAAGTGGCTTTAAATTGCAATACAGATCTTTAAATTTCCTACCCTCTCGCTGCATGATGCAACTATGAGGGTGAACTCCTCTACTTATCTATCTTTTAGATGCTTTTTTTACAAATTCAATTTCCAAATTAATATTTCAAGTCACATATAGTATAAACATTAAATTTACCGGACGGGTATGTATAAATTTGAACACTGAATTGATTAAGTTAATGGTATTGTCCTCTTTGTATCAGACCATAAAAAAATAGATGACTCATCAAGGTTTCTTTTACATTAATCTTTAGGTACCCAACTGACTGACATCGGAATTAAAAATAATCAACAATTCTATTCTTCTTTAAAGGGCGCTGCAAATCTGCCTTTCACGAACAACTGGTGGAAATTCTCGAGCTTGTCGCAGACAGGGTGATTCTGCGTGGTGTGTCTGCAAAGTCTATGGTTTTACCCCATTGCACATGGGATAAATTTGGTGAAATTCTTGCTTATGGAGGAGGAAGATCGCTTGGACTGTTTGAGGAGTTGATGTCATTTTTCACGGAAAAGTGTTTTGTTGTCCTGGGAGTCCTTGTCCATGCTTAATACAGGACATTGCTTGCCGGGGCAAAGGATGCAAGAGCAAAACGCTCATTTACCTCGAGACAGAAGAATCTCAAAATCCAAGTGAGGATCTTTTCTGTACAAGTAATACGTCATGCAGGTGCGGAGAGGATAAAGTAAAATATGATGCTAACTTTGTCGCTTGTAACGACGGACAAAGAAAATCCAAATGTCCTTGCCTCAAATTGGGTAGGCCTTGTAAAGCAACATGTTACTGCAAAAATTGTGCAAATCCTATTGCTGCCAAAATTCCACCAAATGTGGATATTTCACCTCCTTCAGAGATAAATAGAAAGCGCAAAAGGACCGGAACATTTCATCATAAGAGAGTTCGAAGTGCCGACTACTTAATTTCACGAAATCTCGAGCCAGTTTCTAAGATATGGATTGCATTTGAGCAATCCTTATTGCTAACTGTTACGGCGTTCTTGGTCTCCACCTTGGTTTCTCCCAGCCTAGAGAACATACCTCGAATTTATAACCATGTAGCCGAGTCCCAACATTGTCAAGAGGCAGGGTTTCCCATAAGAACAAAAAAAGCAGCTGCAAGAAAAAAAAATGAGGCCTTGACCAGACCTGGCAATTGACATTTAACTTATACTTATAATGTTGTTTTCTCTGCCCAGGCTGAATATTACTATTTTTCTGCTGCTTTTAGGCTGAAAATATTCTTGTATTATTCTTAAATTATAGCTTATTACATTAATCAACTCGTTACTACATTTATTCATTTTTACATTTTTTTCTTGTATTATTCTTTAATTATAGTTTATTACATTTATCGTTTTAGAATATATTGGGGTATGAATTATATAGTTTGTGCAGTTTTTTTCGCTTTAATGGCTAGTTTTGTCGTTTAGAGAAAGGATTATTTAAGTTAAAAGCATATTATTGGTATTGTTTTGACATATTTCAACACACAAAATTATATCCTTTTCAAAGTCTGAGCCGGGGCTTTATTCTTATTTTATTTTTAAATGTTCACAATTCAGCCTCGAATTTCAGCACTTCCACGCTAATCCCGCCAGCTACGCAGGCTAATCTACCATTACCTGATCCGGATCATCTCAAAGAAACGCACCCCTACGTTTTAATATTATGAAAACAAGTAACAAAAAAGGCATTTACTACCATAAATCATCCATTTCGTTCCTTTTCTTTGTGTCTAGGAGCAAAACCCTAAAGGATTCTGTTGACGTTATCGCATATATTACGTCTTCGCGTATACGGCCCATCAGACGACCAAAATATATACAGTACAAGAGTTTGTTTGCTAAGTGTTTTCCTTTAATTCTTATTCACTTTAATAATAATATGAGAGTAACTTTTTTCTGATGGTGTTGGAAATTGTATTACTTGTATAACATCTAGATAAGACAATATTTCTTTTCCTGACATGATTTCGCCAAATTAAAGTCTCTGAAAAACCTTCCATAACCTCCCCTTCCCAATGAAACATTTGTTTAATTTAGTTTCTTTTTTTTTTCTACTTATTTAAAAAGTTATGATATTTTTGTTTCTTAATATCAAACATTTTTATACCTTATCCTTTTCCGGCCGCCATGTTTGTGCTCCTCGGAGGGACACCAACATGGCGTCTCCATACAAAGCTCTATAAATTTCGGTACACCATTTCGCCAAATATCTCGCGCGCAAAGAACCGCACAGACCTAAACTTTTGCAAGATTGTGTACATGTGTATCCTCTTTACTCCCTTAGATTCTTAACGTTATTCATTGAATAGTTTCGATTTTTATTTTTGATGGCGTGACAGCGAAAACCGAGAATAGAACTGATGCATTGTAATACACAGAAGTCTTTACTCTGTTGCACACAAACGAGAAATTGAAATTTTATATAATTATTTCTGCAGTGCCTCCTCTGTATCTTGAATCATTTAATAATAAATGATAAAATTGTAAATCATGTAAAGGGAGTATTGGATTCCACTAATACAAGTATTCTGATCATCTTTCACATTTCAGAAAAAGCATCACAACTTTACCATGCCATGCTCCAGCTGAAATGTGAGCAACATTTAGGAAAAAAGTTTGAGGATGTTGGACAACGACAGCAACAACGCTTTCTCCAAGAAATAAGGTATCACAATCAAAATTGTTAAAGTAGCAGAGGAGTTTCAAGTCCTAATGTACTGGTCAAATTGAACGAACCCAACCAACCACCAAACCAGTTCATATTTGTCTTGTTTCCTCTTTTTCCGATCCTTGACATATAATTACTTACACTGAACTGGTGAAGTTAAGAAAAGCAAAGTACACACAAACTAGCCCTGAGCTACCAGCAACACTGTATTCATAAACCTTCCCGTTATAACCATAATTACATTTATGATAAAGAACAAAACACATTATTTTATAGGGAAAAGGCAACAAAGGCACTTTGGTTTGCCGAAACATATGGGCTTGTGCTAAAGAAACTAAAAATGGAGGACACATCAGGCAATGAAATCAACGTGACTTTGACTGGCACCATTATCCAAGGTACATGTAACAAAATTCACTTTTCAAGTAATTTCATCAAGACGTCCCTATAAGAAAGAAGCTTGGCACCTTTAACCCTGGGGTAAACAGATGGTAAATATGTCTGGAAGAGGACCTGGGTGCAAGCAGACAATCATCATCACACCGTACATGCACATACTAATCCACCACGTACCACACATGCTCAGACGACATGGCAGCCTAAAAATGTTCAGTGGACAGGGTATTTATTTCTTTTAACTCTTTGATCTTTGACCTTGTTGCTTCCCAGTGCTTAACTTAAGGCTCCAAAAAGGAATATGAAAATTGAAAAATTTAAAAACGATTATTGGCCAGGGTGCAAAGAAAGTCAGGTTTACAGCTTGCCATTTGGACCAGCTGTAGCTAACATCTACTAGCCTACGAGGTAATGATTTTAACCAGCCCATAATTTTAATTCCCATAAAAGCTTCATTTGCCCACCAGGCAAATTAAGAACATATTTACTAGCCTGATAGCAAAATCAACGAGCCCCAAGGTATTGGACTCGACTTTCCTTGCACACTGTTGACTGTAATGAATATTTTTACAGGAGTTGAGAAAAAGAATGATGATTTCAGAAGATATTTCTACACAAAAATCAACCGCTGGGATTCCGCAAAGGATCTTTTAATTGGTGGAAAAACGGCAGGAAGCACTCAAGGATTGCGAGAGAGTAAACAGAGGTTACGTGAAAAGGAAGGAGTCGTTCTGGATGGAGAAAGGAAAGCAGCAGGCAGCAAAGAAAGTTGTCAGAGTGTCAACGTCAACGTCAGAATTCCCCAATACCACCACACCAAATCAGCAGTACAACCAAATCAGCAGTACACTTTAGCAGAACTAAAGAAAATGAAAGCAACCGAGCTTCTTGTTCTACTGTCTCAACAAGGGAGAGTATTCAACAAAAGGACAAGGAAGCAAGTATCAATAAATGCGTATTTAGGTGGCACTTCAAACATACCTAGGGACAATTGAAAAAACCTAAAAACTTTGATAAAATTATAATTTGAACAAAAAACCCGGCAGTTTAAGGTCTTATCAGGATTGTCATATTATTTGAATCATTCTGCTGAAGAAAATCATGAACAGATTCTCACAATGAATTTGTTAAGGGGTGGTGGGTGTCACTTGGACAATCACACGTCTCTTTATTTATTGGGTACAGATTAGAATTAGTTGAAAACCAAAGGTTAAGTAGTTATGTCAAATTGTTATTTTAAGGGGCGGGTGTCACTTGGACGACCCATACGTTCCCGCATGTACTAGCTATAGACTGATAGTTGAAGAGCAAAGGTTAAGTAGTTATTTCAAATTGTTATTTTAAGGGGCGGTGTTACTTGGACGACCCTCACTCTCCCACACGTACTAGCTTGGTATAGACTGATAGTTGAAAATCAAAGGTTAAGTAGTTGTTTCAAATTGTTATTTTAAGGGGCAGTGTCACTTGGACGACCCTCACTTTCCCGCATATACTAGCTAGGTATAGACTGATAGTGGCAGGAGTATTGACGAAACATCCACCTCCGGTACCAGTCAGACATTTCTTTAGATAAGAACCAAAACCAGCTCGGACTAGCTTCTCTTTACTTGCGAGGCTCTCTCCTCCGCAGAGGCTCCCGCTGGGTATCCCCATCAAAATATCAATAATCGACAAAAATAGAAAGCGCGCGGGGGACGATGGGAAGAGGGAAACGGCGGGAGCCTCTGCCATATAATGTTTCCAAGATGGCGCCTAATAACCGAGGAAGACTGGATCTAAGAGGTGTTCCTCATAAATATTTACAACATGGCGGAACATGCAGTCCGACAAGAAGTGGAAGCTGTCTCTCTTTCTGAACGACCTTTGCAGAGAGCAAAGCAAGGCGGAAAAACCACTTGTTGGAAATGTTTTCAGGATGCCAGTGTTACTAACTTCTTCGCCAAGGGAGCCGCAATGATCCAGCATTTTCGTACTATGCACCGAAACATCGATGTAGACGAAGTGCGATGCAAGACCCTTTTCCAGCAACTTCACGGCAAGGAAACAGCAGATGCCATCGCGCGCTTAAGCAGATTTCGCTTAGACACGGTTAGTAGCTCCTTATTTTGTTTACCTCAACACGATACGTAAGCATCTTTTTTCCTTTCCATTTAATTGAGTGATGAAAGATTTGTTCTCTTCTGCAGTTGTGTACTGTTGGTAGTTACTCAGAGTATAATGTTAGCGTGGAGGAACAGGGTGTATTTGGAGCCAAAATTGTTGCCAAAACAAGAAGAGAAGCGGCAAAGCTATACGGTTTGATTTCACACCACTGTGGGAAACTGAGAGCTCTTGGAGACCGACCATGTGTTGTTCAAGTGGAAGAAGTTGGCAACTCTACTAGCAGACAAAGCTTTCGCACGTGGTTTGCTGGGGTCAAAATTTACGTCGAGTGTTTTATTCCAGGCAGGAGGGTAAATAAATATTGCCTTTAGTTGTTCCTTTATTTAACGTACAATATTGTCAGTCTAAGATGGATGGTATTAACAATTCTGTATACTCGTGAAGTATCTTTTTAACAGTTTTTCTCCATGGTATAATTTCTAGTTGTGTGAATTCGGTGTATCCCATATTCTACTTTTCACTTTTTAATTATTATTCCCTTTCTGGTAA